CACTTCAAACAGACAATAACAACAGTCAAAGGGGAGTAAGCTGAAACAACGGCAAAGCTATGCCATATAAGAGCAGCAACAACAACAACAACAACAACAGCAACAAGAACTAAAAGAAACCCAATAACATAAAAGCTAAAGAATTTTTGCGCAAAAGGATGGAAGGCGACTACCGAACGACTCAAACAACTGAGGGGGCCAAGCACATTAGTATGTGTGTGTGTATGTGTAAGTAGAAAAACCCGCTTACAGCAGCAAAAACGGCGGCAGCGACGCCAAGTGACGACCTTGATAAGTTTCACACACAACACACACAAATACAAACAAGCGTGAACACATACAAAGCCAAAATTGCTTACGAAAAAGGAAGGGCAGCCAAGGAGCAGCCTTTGGGGGCAATGAAAGAGGCCCGCGCACAATGTGTATGTGTGTGTGTGAGTGGGGAGCAAATAGGGTAGGCACAGTGCATGTATCACACCACAATCGATTCTAGCACAGAGAGAGAGAGAGAGAAAGAGAGCGCAGCGCAGTGCATGGTGAGTTTCGCGGTGCCCAACACACACACACACACTCGCACTCATATTCGCTCTCTCTCTTTTGCACGGGCATCAACAAGTGGCTGCGGCTGCTCCTGCTCCTAACTCAATTCGCTTTTGTTTGTCTGTGCGCCGCTCTTTAATCAACAGCGCGTGGTGAGCTTTTAGCTGCTGCTGTTGTTGTTACACTGTTGTACAATTGTACTTGTGCTTAACATTACATGATATGTACATATATACTTATGCATGGGTGTATCTTATCATACTTTGCGTTTTATTATTGAATTTCTTAAGTCGCCGCTGCCGCTGCGGCTGACGCATATAAGAACGCCAAACAAATTGCGAGCGACCGCTTGTCTGCCTCTGCTGGCGCGCGTTCTCTCAATTCACTCTCTTTCTTTTGCTCTCTCTCTCTCTCTCTCTCTCTGCCTTTGCAGTCAGCTGTAAGTCAGCTTGAGCTTCAAATATTATTAAATATATAAGCATTGATATGCTGCTATATGTACTATATATACATACATATGTATGTATGTTTAGTGTATAGTGGAAAATTTCTTGTAGTGTATTTATCAGGAATGTAGCTAAATCAATGCAACAACTACAGCGCCAACAACAACAACAACAACTTTAAATGATCGTGCAACGTGCCTGAAATTATAAAATACAAAATTCAACGCGGAACCCGCCAACAGCAGAAATAACAACAAAAACCGGCGCTGCACTTGCTACCACACACACAACCGGCTCAGATCAACAGACAGACAGACAGTTGGACAGGCGCACTGTGTGCAACGTCTAGTTTGAGCTTTGAACGACAGGCGAGCACATGAGAGACAACAACCCATAATTAATCAGACTGCCAGGCAACATTTTTACAACAATTTACAATTTACAATGTACAGACAACAGGCAACATTGTGAATTCCAAGCAGAATCCTTTACAACAACAAACGGAGCGACTTGGGTAAGCTCTGGCAACAAACAATTGCATACTCTAACAATTTCTTATCAGCTAACTCTGTTAATATTAAAAAGCTAATATGGGACTCGTATTGGATTTCGCCCGATCTTATTGGAAAGCATATCGTAGTGATATGCTATGCTAATTCCTATTGGTCTTTATATTCAATTGGATTTAAACAGAATTATATTTAATTGGTTATGATATAAATAGGTTGTTAAATGTTTCTTTGCATCACCATCAAATTCGTATATAAACTGCTTTTTAAATACAAGTCAAGACTTAATATTCTAAATTATGATAATTCTTGAATATATTTTCTCTTGCTCTTTTATTCGTCCATTTCTCTATCTTTCATTGCTTCGACTAACTAGTTTTTTGCTTTTATCTAGAAATAAAATTATTGTCTTTCCAAAATATCAATTTTATGGACTTACTCCTCGAATTAAATGCTAAGCACAAGAATATGACAATAGATACATTTTTTTGTTTTTCTCTTTTCTTATTTCTTTTTAGCTGTTCGAGCATACAGGTAATGGCCAAATCAATGTGTGAAAACAAGTTTTCAAACATTAATTCGCATATTTTTACAAATTATATTAAGCTTATACATAACGAGTGAACAGCAACAACAACAACAATGATAATAATAATAATAGCAACAACAACAACAAATACAAGGAACAAGCATTTTTATCATGTACTGCGAATAAAACTCGTTTTGCTTGTAAAACTATTCAATAATTGTGATGAATAAAAAACTAAATATATAAAAAGAAATATATATTTTTTTAAATACAAGAAAATGTACAATAGTATAAATAATTAAAGTAAATTTTATTATGGGCTTAACAAAAAAAAGTAATAAATTAAAGTCGAGGATTAAATATTTGGAGAAGCAAGCTAAGCTTAACTCAATTGTCTAGCTAATCTGATTGGAATGAATGTCTTAGGGAAATAGCTGTTTTAAAGGGAAATAATCTCTTAAGCTTCGACGTTCTATCATCTCATTACAAAGCGCTGACTAAGCCTATTGATAAATAGTTGCATTTAACAATATGAATATGCATATACATATACAATAATACATACATATATGGATGTGTATATGGATGTGTGCGTACCTTTGGGAGAAGGCGAGAAAAAAAAGCACAACTTAAAGCGCTGTCAAAAATCTTAATCAAATTATTGACACTTAACGTTGCGCGCAGTGTAAACTCGTCAAATGGAAAATTTGTATACTTTGTGCAAATGACTAAATTACAATAATAATAAAACAAAAGCAAAAAGAGTAAATAAAAAATACCCCAACTAATACCATGCTAAAAAGATTCCAGCACAAAGATATAATTTAGCTGTTACATTATCATTGCATGTATATGCATGTGTGTGTGCGTGTGAGTTAATATACTCTAATGTTACAGTTTGGGTTTTTTTTTTTTCACTCGACTGAGTTAAGTATTATAATGTAACTAAATAGGAGTAAAGAGCAAGAGCGAGAGAGAGCATTCACTCTCTCCCACACACACATGTATGCAATGTGTGATTGGAATTAATCAGGAGTGCACGCTGGCCCTGAGAGCGCATTAAACTTAGTTTTACAACATGCTCTGCATAAGCCTCCGAGTGTATTACACCATAAAGCTGATCTACAACTGTGCTACAGCAACAAAGAGCGTAACATTCTTCGTTGATCATCACGCCTAAGACGGCGAGCCATGCACTCCTCCTCTATCATACAAATGAGAGCGGCGCCGCTGAGAGAGTCCAGTCAGGCATATGGGGAAATGTCATTGATCCACCACACGTTTGGGCAGCGAATCTCGCTCTTGTCTGCTATCAGTCGCCGCTATCCGGCTGCTGCTTTGCTATACAATGTGAGCGGGCACAGTGGGACGAGTAAAATAGGCTGAAGTATTCGTCACTTAATTGGATGAGCGCGACGCTGCGACACTGCGACTATGCTGCAATCAAAGTACACACGCACACACATATATGTATATATATTAGGGAACAGAGCTTGGGCTTTTTCCGATATGCAAAACAAACTTATTAAAGTGGATAGACAAGTTTTAACCAGCGAGAAGCGTGCTGATAAAGCAGTTTGCGCTGGTCAAGCACACTGTGCGAAAGAGAGAGCTGTAATGCACATAGAAAACAAACACACAAGCACACTAACACACACACACACATAGGGACATACAGCGGTTTAGGCTCAGCCTAAATATCCATAAAGACTCGATAAAAATAACTCAACATTGCCTGCAATCAATTTTAAAATAGACTCAACTTACAGCTGAGAAGAGGAAGAGGAACAGGCACAACACAAAAAGGAGAAGAAACTAGCCAAAGGCAGACAAGCCAAGCCAAGGCAAGGTAATTTCCACTTACCGCTGCGCTCCCGCGCCGTACAAGTTCAAGGCCAAGTGGCCACGGCGCCTCCTCTCTGTCTTTTACTGCGTTCTCTCGTCTCCCGCTCTTCGGTTTACAAGCACTCGATGTGTGTGCGTGAGTGTATGAATGTGTTTACAGTGTTGGCGTGCTTTTATCTCTGAGTGTGTGTGTGTGTGTATGGTTATTCTTTTTTTTTATGCGCAACCGTTTGCATGCGAAAGAACTTTCGTTTTCAAGTACATGAAGCGCCAGCGCCTCCTATTGTTGTTGTTATTGTTGTAGCTCTTTTCTTTTTAGTGGGACGCGCGCGTGGTGAACAAAGGGGAAATCGCACTTGTTTATAGCACGCGCAACATTTTGTTGTTGTATTTCTATTCTTTATTTGTTGTTGCTTTTGTTACCGAAATCAACAAATTCCGAAAATTTGTATATGTTATTTGCAAGACTGCACACTCGATCCCAGAAGCAGTCGGCTTTGTAAATTAATTAACACACTCACAGCTTACACACACATACACACACACAGGCACAACCACACGCACACTTGGCCATATCAAGCAAGCGGGCGGGCGAGCGAGCGAGCGCGCGCGCCGAGATAAGGCAAAGCAATTTATTTGCACTAAAATTTTTTGCTTTTTGCACGCTGCCGCTGTCGCTGAGGGGTTACAAGGGGCAGGAGAATATTTCGGGGGGTGGGGAGGAGCTTAAATTCACCACACACACAATCTCACACACACTGGAATTTCGTCGAAGCAACACACTCACTCACACGCAATCCGACGACGCAAACGCACGTTTCTCGTTACGACTGAGATGGCCAATAATAATTTTTGGCATTCCTGTTCGCATGTCCCGCACACTAGAACAAATTTGCGACGCAATTGGGTTTTCTAAGTTGCGTTAAATGTTTTATTTAGCTAGTTGAATTGCACGAGAATTTAGAAACGAGCAGAGACAACAGAAAACCAGACGACACCGCGATTACGAGGCGCAACAACAAATGGTGAGCGTGCGGAGAGAGCCACACGCCAGAGTTGCCAAGTTGAGAGCTTTTTCTTACGCCAAAAAAGCTTTGCGACAGTGTTGAAAAGCGTGTGGTCAAAAACATATGAAATTCATTAACTTTATTGCTTATAAAACTACACATTATTTTTAGTAATATTATATTATTATAGCATGGGTAAATTGGCTTTTAATGCATCAAACTCCTTACGATCCAAAGCCTTTAAGTTGGTACCTGAGAAGGGGGATTTGAACTCAACATCGCGATGCTTGTTCACCAAAATCTTTTGCTCTGAATAAATCAGATTGATTTGCTGACTTATTTGCTCCTGATCTGTAATTGGATCATATTACAAACTTGTATATATACAAATGTGTCTATATTTACCCTTCTTGAGCAACTGTATGGCTTGATCGCGCTTCATTTTAACCAACATGCTACCAACTGTTATCCATACTTTTGGCTCATCGCTTTTTTCCATCAGACGCAACGCTTCACGAGTTTCTTGCCTCCGTTTGTCCATTACAGTTAACTCCTGTTTGTTAACCAATATCTTATCGGCCAACTCTTCTGTCTTGTTGATAATCTCAATGCTTTTATTTAAGTCGGATTGCGACATGTTTAATGTAATTTTCACTTATGAAATGTGCAAAAATCCGGTCTAAACATAAACAAAACAATTTAGTGTGACCAGCATACGTTAATCCACAGTGGACACAGGCTCCAGGGTGGGTATTCGATCAGCTGTTTGCAAGATTCACCTCAATAACAGCTGTTTCTGGTTCTGATTAAGTTACGCGCGCAATTCCAACAGGGAATAATTATAATTCTACTTCAAAGAAATTAAAGTGACTGACTGACCTGACACAATTTGTGAATATTTCTACTTATTGTTTTTGACTCGAACAGCTGTTCATAGGATTTCAGTATGGTCATCTTTATTATAGCTGTGCGAAATTTAAATTTGAAGCAATTCCAAAAGAAGTTCGGGGGGAACCCCATTAATATAACTAACCAAAACTTAAGCTTATATTTTTTATTTTGTATAAAATTTCAACATTTAAAGCTGCTTCTGTTTCTTTGCCAGCTGCATTCGTACGAACTTCCAATTTTAACGTTTGTAGTGCGTGAGATGGTTGATCATCTCGTAGAGCCACTTGGGCTGATCATGTGGAGCCATGTGGCCAGCATTGCGTACCATAATCTCAACCAGATGCCCCGCATGCTTCACATAGCCCGCCACCTCGCCATCGATTCGCCAAATTTCACGTGGCGCAATCTTATATTTTGCGGCATCCCGAAACTTGAGCCTGTTCAAATAGTTGCGAGTCAGCGGATAGGCCACAATGATGTCCAATTGTCCGCTATAGATGCACACGGTGTACGTATTGAGAAGTTCAGCGATCCATGGAGCCACCGTGTCCATGACGTCCTCCTTCAAATGCAGCTCTACCTTGTTCTCCTTGTCCAGATCATGGAACGGCTGGTTGCCTACATGAATGGCACGTCGAGTGGCGCCCGCTTGCAAAAATTTACCCAATTGGGCATCCGCCGGATTTGGTTTAGTAATAAGATAATTGTAGTACCAATTGTAGCCCGTCAGATTGCTGAAGATGGAGCCGTTGGTCAGATCACCATTGATCAGCGAATCGAAGACCTCGAAGGCGCCACTCATATCCCGTTTCTCAATCAGCTCGGCGCCCTTATTCTCGGCCTCATGAAACTGGATCAATCCATTGTCATCGATCAGGCCCAGCTGATAGAGATAGTCGCCGTATTTCAGCTGATGCAACGGATCGGAAAGCCCATTGCCAATGGCCACGCCCTTCAGTGGAATATGGACTCGCGTCTCAATGGAATTCTGGACTTTATGTATGTGATAGGCCAAAGCGGGAACATATTTGCCGGCATAGGATTCGCCGGTGACCCAGAAACCGGAGGAGCTGCCCCAATCGAAGAGTTCGTATAGCTGCATCACAGCCTCGTGCAGATTCCTGCCCACATCTTTCTCGTTACGGGCGTAGCCCTCGTCATGATCTGTGAAACTAAAGCCCGTGCCCACAGGATTATCTATATAGATCAGATTATGTGTCTTGCTCCAGGTATAGTTGCGCAACTGTACTTTGCCCTGACCCTCGAGCTGCAGCGGCCCATTCTCAGTGAAGAGCCCAAACAGCGAGGAGGCACCGGGTCCACCTTGCAGCCAGAGCACAACTGGTGCATAAACCGGATCTGTTTCACTGGGGAAATACCAGAAGAACATGTTCGAATTGTAGCCCTTGTCCACAGTCAAATAACCCGCATAGCTCTCCACATTGTGGAACTGGGAGCCCGAAACACGCGCCATTTGACGCACTTGCTCCATGGGCACTTTCTGATCTTCGATGAAGGGCGTTAAGAATAGCGGCTGACCGGGATCGACGCCATCGTTGAAGTACTCATAGCGCGGATATGGATTGACAAAGCTGTTTCTATACGGCCGATCTGCAGCGGCAACAGCAGCAGCCGCTGCGATAATCAAGAGAACGCAATGAATTGCGTTTTTCATTGTTTTGTCTTTTTTTTTTTTTGCTTCCTAGAATAAATCAGTTATTTAATCAGTTGTGTTGAGTTGCTGCTCCAACAACCCCCCTTTTTACTTACCCTTTACAATAGATAAGCAAACGTTGCACTTTCACTTCTGCTCCGGCTAAATTATAAAACTCGTCTGAGCCGGCGAAAATGATAATACAATGCAAAGCAATAAAAATTTAAGAATTAAGTAGTTAGTTCCGTTGCTGAACTAACCAGTGAGCTGCAACTATCGAGCAGACACAATACTATCGATGATTTTTTGAAAGTGAAAGAAGCTAAAGAAAAATTAAGCAAAAACCGCGCCTAAATTACTTCTCGATCTAATGAGCTAGTTGCAACAAGAGTGATATATAAATAGATAATAACAACAAATATACTAATTATTGTATAGGATTTTATCTTTACCTATTTTAAGCCTGATTTAAACTCGTTTAGTAACTACCGAATAATCAAATGAACTATTTGCACCTGTTAGATGGCTGAGCACTGTTATCGATAACAGCTTGGTCAAACAGCTGTTGATTTGAAATTAAAAATGTATTTAAAATGCCAGCTGATAACAAATAATGAAGACAATTGAATTTAAATTGCAAATAAGTTGCGTAAGACATACCGACATGAAATAGAAATTAACTGCAGCGCTGCTTACCGCCTACATAAATCACAAAAGCCGAAATAACCGTTAAGCGAATATGGGTTAAGGGAAAACAACAAACGCCTTCAATTACCGCTAAAAATGAGTCATGGATAGCAGCGACGTGTCGCTCGGTGCTTTCGTTTTTGTTGTGGCATCGCGAAAACATTCCACTTTGGGCAGCTCAACCAATTGGACGTGCTCCATCTCTCGCTCGCGTTCTCCCTCTCGCTCTCTACTTTAACTATTGTAAGTACCTACAAATAGCCTGATTACGCATATCTAACACATACACACACCCACAAACACACAGATAAAATGTTCGATTTCAATTTGGAATTTGCGCGTGGCGGCGCCTTCTTCACCAGCGAGCTGTTCCAGCTGCTCGCAGCCGGCGGACTTAAGCAAAACATCGTCTTCTCTCCATTCTCGATACAAACCTGCCTGGCCTTGGCTTTCGCCGGCGCCCAGGGCGAGACAGCGGATGAGATAGCCAAGGGATTGCGTTTCGTCTCCAACTTCCCACCTGAGGTTGCTCAAACCTTTCAGTTTGTGCTGCAGAAGTACAAGGACAGCGATCTGCTGAAGGTGGCCAACAAGCTGTACGTGCAGCAGGGCAAGCAGCTGAAGGCCAGCTACGAGGCTACGATCAAGCAGGACTACAACTCAGAGGCGGAGTCCATTAATTTTGCACTAAGCGATGCGGCTGCCCAGCAGATCAACGGCTGGGTGAATGCCAAGACCGAGGGCAAGATCACCGAACTGGTCTCGGCGGACTGCTTCGATGACAACACACGTCTGGTGCTCCTCAATGCGCTCCACTTCAAGGGCAGCTGGGCCAACAGATTCGATGAGGCCAGCACCGCCGAGGATGACTTCTGGACATCCGAGGAGCAGAGCGTTAAGGTTCAATATATGAATCAGAAGGCCAAATTTGGCTATGGCTACTTTGAGGAGCTCAACTGCACCGCCTTGGACATGCCCTACAAGGACTCCGATTTGTCCATGTTTGTGCTGTTGCCGCAGGAGCGCGAAGGTCTCAAGGACCTGGCCGAGAAGCTGAAGGGCGTAAATCTGGTCGATTTGGCCGACAAACTGAATGTGGAGGAGGTGCAGGTGAAATTCCCCAAATTCAAGGCCGACTTCTCCATCGAATTGGCCGACAAACTGAAGCAGGTAGGTTCTATATGGTTAATATGTGGGATATTTGGTAAATATGGGATATATGTAATTCAACGTTGACTAAATCTTTAAATTTCACTATAGATTAGTTCAGTGTATAGATATACGATATGTATACTTTATATAGATTTAGTATAGACAGGCTCTATATAAGTGTAGAATAAATATGCTCTATATAGGTCTTGTTTAGGCAGACTATTTACTATATGTACCCCTTTTGCTATAGACTATATATATATTATTTATGTACTTAAACTCGCTCTTTGAACACATCCATAAAAATACCAACTACCAAATTTCTTTATCTATATAATATGTATGTCTGTATAATATATCATCTTGTGCTTCAATTTATTTTCTTTAACACGTCAGTAGCTATTCTCATTTTTTTTTACTATCATTCGCGTTCAGTTTCAAACTTTATTGATTAGCTCCTTATCTTAGGAAATATCAATCGGAATTTAAAGTACTTTCATTTCGGGGGCTTATCAGGCTTAGAGATAATTTTAGGGTATTTAATATAGCTTTCACGCCAAACTGACAAATTTGTGGTTCCTGCTTATGATCAGATGTCGCTCGTGCATTGAGTGTCTCAACTTAACTGCACCTGAATTGTATACGCATATCTTATCTCCGGCATGAGCTCATCTTTCATAACGTATTTAATCATTGTTTATTTTTGTAATACTTCAACTGATTCGTTATCTCCTTGTGGAATTCTTTGTAGCTGGGCATTACGAAAATATTCGATGAGGGCGCCGATTTCAATAATCTGCTGGAATCCCCTGAAGGTATTTTCGTCTCGAAGGTCTTGCACAAGGCGACGATTGAGGTGAACGAGGAGGGCACCGAGGCGGCTGCTGCCACCGGCATGATCATGATGACGCGCATGATGATGCTGCCACTGCAGTTCCAGGCGGATCGTCCATTCCTCTATGTCATCTGGAACAAGAAGAATATTGTTTTTGCCGGCGCTTTTGTCACTGCACCAAGTGCTTAAAACTAAAAACGAAAAAAAAAAAAAAACTCATTAATTTATTTGTTATTTTGATATTGATTTGTATTTATTAATAATAAAAAAAAACAATGGCGCATTCAATTGAAGTATTTTAATTTAGGAAATTTAAATTATTCTAGTATTACTATATTATAAAGCAGAAACTAAAATTTAATTTACAGCTGAAAATATCCAGTATTTCTTTACCTAATAAATAGCTCGGTATAATATATTAATTAACTTGTATGACAAATCTACCATACAAAAATTAATATTTTTTATTATATTTTTAATATCCCATATTTTTATATTTAAAAATTAATTTGCTATCATAAGTAAATATATTATTTTATTTTATTTTGACCATTATAATTTATACTCTATAATAAAATTTACATTTTTACGTTCCCATATTTATATATTAAAAAATTAGTTTTTATTATAAATTCATCATTAAATTTCCTACTGGGTCTCCTCAAGTGCGCAGATTTGCGTTAAATTTTTCGTGCAGCCAACTTCACGCTACACCCAGCCAATTGCTCTCAGTTCATTGAGCCAGTTCCGCGCTGAACTACGCAGTCTGTTTCGTTGGTGCAGAAAGAAAACAACTTAAGTACACACATATATGTACATACATATATATGGGTAATGCGGGCTGAACAATTAACAGTCATGTGGCAATAGGCAATATTAGCATTCGCAACAATTCTGAGCAATGTCACTGCGTGCATTAAGGAAACGGGACAACCAATACAATCAAAGTGCTGCCAGAGCAACGCTCTATAAAAAAGCAAACAATAGCAACGGGAACAACAACAACAACAACGGCAGCAGCAGCAACAACCACAACAGCAGCAGAGCCAAAAAGTTAACGTCAGCTGGAAGCCTGTTGCGCCAACGTCAGCTGCTGGGACGTTCGACACATTCCAACCCGGATCTAACGGCATTTCAAAGGACCTGTACGAATCACCTGTTGCGTCGCAAATCGGAAAGCGATGCCAATTGGGCCATCTCAACGGGCCAATCAACGAAACCGTTAACGGCTGCCAACGCCAAGTCCGAGATTTGTCTGCAGCGCATCAGTTCGCACAGCTACGAGACGGCGAACAGGACCCCGACCTCAGCTACGATGCTCGGTGGAGCGCGTTCGCATCGAGATCTGTCCGCTGTCCCATTGGAGGCGGATCGAGCGCCGCGCCGCATGAGCGAGTGCAGCATGGGCTACAGCCAAGCGAGCGGCGGCTACTCGCGACGCACCAGCTCCATGTTTGCCAGTCAAATGATGCTGTCCTCGAGCGCTGCGGCGCCTGTTGATCCCAATGCGATTTTGCGTGTGCCCATCATTGGCTACGAGGTGATGGAGGAGCGGGCACGCTTCACCGTCTACAAACTGCGCGTCGAGAATCCCGACACGAATGACTTTTGGCTAGTGATGCGACGCTACACGGACTTTGTGCGCCTCAATGGCAAGCTGAAGCAGGCCTTTCCCCACATCAACCTAATGCTGCCGCGCAAGAAACTCTTTGGGGACAATTTCAATGCCGTCTTTCTGGACAATCGGGTGCAGGGCCTCCAGATGTTTGTCAACTCGATCATGGCCAAGGATCAGCTGCGCAAATGTAAACTGGTGCGCGAGTTCTTTTGCCTGGACGAGCCGCCCACGTACTCGGAGTCCATGGAGGAGTGTCGAGTGAGTGGGCATAGATGAAGTACCAATTATAAATATGTATTAATATAAATTTATATATACTTCTCCTTCACAGGCAATCTTTGAGGCCCAGGAGGAGACTATTGCGCACTTGAAGCTGCAAATACAAAGCAAAAATGATCTCATACTCGGGCTGCAGCAGAAGTTGCGCGAGGAAATGATCGAGAAGGAGCAGCTCAAAGAGCAACTGAAGTAGCATAGATTATATCATCTATATATAAATTACTCTCTCTATATGTATATATTCATTCCCATTCACAGAAATCTCAATTTGAACTGTTCGCACTGCTCGTCGGCAAATGAAAGTTTGGCGCTGAAATAAAGCTAGGAAACCACTCAAGCAAGGACATGGACTGGAGGCGTGTCCTTCATGTGTGCGTGTGTGTGTACACAATTATGCTGAGCATAACTCTAGATACTCACGCACGTCCACAAAATATATCTCCCCAAGTGCATATCAAGCAATAAGCAAGGCTCACTATATAGACAACTATATATAGGATATATCAAGTGCTTTAGCATACTACACTGGACAGAAAGGAATTAAGTTCGAGGAGTGAACTGATATGATTTAGATGGGGTTTTGACAGAAGAAGTTGCTCGACAATTGACAATTGGAACTCGATTTGTATTAATAACTGTTATAAAATGAATCTATTTATATACAAACTGTAAACTTTTTATGCGACTTTTGAGCACACTTCTCTTTAAGAATTTTAGCTAATGTAACAGGACTATATAAATGATTATGTGCTAAGCTTAAGGTGCAGGAAGATGATATTAAAACATACGCTATTTAAGCCAAAATATTGCCCAAGTGCATAACACTTTTATTTAATATTCCATAATTCAAGAAACGCCAGCCAAGAAAAGGTTTCAGTATATTCTATATCTTCTTCGTTTCACAACTATACATAAAATCTTTTTAAAAATTATATCATTATCATATTATACATTTGAATATACCAATGATAACTCTTATCTATCTTTTCAGTTTAATATAATTTATAAGCATAATTCTTTCTAAAATCATAGCATAGACTGATACTTCTAACTTACATTAATAACATTTTTTTTAATGGTCCATAAGTAAGGAGCCAAAGGAGAGCTCAGAATTCTTTTCAGTTTTAAAAATCCTGTCAAAAATCATATCAATGCACTCTAAGAAAGAAATACAAATATTTTTTTAAACATATATACTAAATANTGTGTGTGTGTGTGTGAGTTGTCAAAACAGCTGGCACATGGAAGAGCAAATACTTGAGTATGCGCCTCAATGACAACGACGAGGCAATGAAATATGCACCCAGTTAAGTAAGCTATTTACACAGATACACACACATATATGTGCATATATAAATATATGTATATGTATACATATACAAATTGATGCGGGTTTTTATCCGCTGAACATTAAAACTTAGCATTAGCACAATATAATTTACAATAATAATGATAATTAAAAATCGTTTTGAAATCTATAAATAAACTGTTTATAACTATTAGCTTAGCCAGCTCAGAGGCTCGTCATGGCCGGCGGCCTGGCGTAGGCTTTCGGTATGAACCCATATTTGCGCGTCTTGGGGGCATATGCCCAGAGCCAGCCGTCGACGGTTTGATTGTTCAGATCCGCATAGATCCAGTCGCCACGACGCACGGACAAATCGTCGGGCGCCTGTGCCTTGTAGTCATAGAGCATCACTAGCTCGGTGCCATGATAGCGCAAATCATCGGTGCCAATGCCCAATTGTTGTTGTTGTTGTTGCTGCTGTTGTTGCTGTTGCACCTGTTGCTGTGCCTGCTGCACCTGTTGTGCCTGCTGGCCCTGCTGCTGCAGCATACTCTCCATGGCATTCAGGCTGCCACCTGTTAGATTCGCATGATGCTGCATGTTGCTCTCGTTGAGCGGAGCTGTTGTCCCGTTCGCCGCCTTCTGCTGCTGCAGCACTCGCACACTGTCGGCGGGATAGATAAAGTTGGCGGGCACAAAGCCCTCCTGGCCATCGCTGCGCATTATCCAGAACCAGTCGGGATCCTCACGATTCAGCACCGTCACAAATTCGCCCCGCTCCACGGACAAATCGTTCTCGTCGCGCGCTATGAACGTGTAGAGCACAATGCAGCGACCCGACGGCTCCTTGATGAAGGGCGTGCACTCGGGCATCGTCACATGCAGATTGCCATCCACATTGCTGGCTGTGGCGTTAGTCGTCTCGTCGCACAGCACGTCCAGCTTGTTGTCCGCGCTCAGCAGTGGTTGGTTCTCGTCGTGCGGCTGTTCGGGGCACTGATCGCGTGGCAGTTTCTTTTTGATGGCCAGCTCGGCAAGCTGCGTGTTGTATGGCGCGCAGTAGGAGAAGGGTATGAAGCCCTCCTGGCGAGAGTCTTGTCCTATAACATATACCCAATCGTTCTCGCGATACAGTATATTTACTAGCTGCCCGCGCTTCACCTCCAGCTCATCATCCACGCAGGGCGTAAAGTCGTGCAGCACAACCATCTTGGAGTCGGGACTGCCGGAGGGAAATACAGATTTAAATCTATCTTATATATGTATTTATTAAAGACTTTACCTCAGTCCATGTTCCTTTTCTATGCCCACACGCACCAGCGTCTCTATACTCGACGAGCCTGTTATGCGGCCCATGCCAACGGGCGCCAAATCACGTTCGATGTTCGCATTTGTGGCTAATGGGGGAAAACAAGTTTGTTGTTTAAGTCTTTCACATATATGTGGGCAAATTAATTCTCTTTTGTGTTACGCTGGCTGCGCATGCGTACCTTTCTTTTTGTCGCGCCGCATGCGTACAGGGCACAGAAATGCCATATTTGCTGAACTTTGAATTTTCTTATTCACAATTTAATAATAATATTGTGCTCAACTGCGTTTGTTTATGAGAAAATGCATTGCACTTGTACTCGATTCTCCCGTGTGGTTATCGAACTCATTTATCGAACCTGCTCGCAGGCTTTTTATCGATATTGCCAGACCGCCACAATAAACACTGTGCGCTCAAATTGATCGTTTCGGCTGTGTAAATCTGTTTTGTTTAGTGTCTGTTTTTGTTGGTGTGTTAATTAAAGTTATGCTTAACAAATGTTTAATCCAGTTGTGCAATCAAGCGTTTAAGTAAATAATTCCATAGTGTTTATTGAAAATGATGAACCTTACACCTTACAACACCTTGAGGCAGGTTCAATGCACTTGTCCGTTAGCCAAAGAAGCGCCACACAAACTAATTACTATAATTAAGTTATATGTGTGTGTTTATTATGTAATAAACACGCAGACAGCATTATGCAGAATGCATAGAATGCATAGATTTTAAAGCTCTGGCATTTGGCCAGTGCAACATTGTTTGCTGAGCCGTTAGACAGACAATATTATTATTTATGCCAGTCATGTTTTAGCCTTTTGCCTTTCAAGGCTAAAAAGAAATGCGTCATCCATTATCCTTGCAGTCTGCATCCTGGCAAACAGCGGCAATGCTCTTTTTTAGTGCCAAGGATGACGGCGTTTGCATTTTCGATTATTTCTGCCAACGGCTGTATGCGTGCGTGCGAGTGTGTGTGTGTGTGTGTGTGTGTGTGTGTGTGTGCGGGCAAGCGAAAGTACAGCCGACTAACAAACTGACCTACACTGCAGACCCTGCATGAACCCAGGCCCCGGCTCTTCTCACGTCCTCAAGTTCGTTTCCATTGCCAAAAATAAAAAAAATAAAAAAAAAAACGGTAGAAGGAAACTGCGCATTACAATTGCTGTGTTACGAGCATTATACGAGCTATAACCACCCCTTCTCTGCCTCCTATCCCTCTCTCTCGCTCTCTCTCTCTTTTTCTCTCTTTGGCATCGAAGTGAGCTCTTCGTCTCGTTGTTGACTTTTGGTTACTACGCAGTTGATTTTACATCCCACATATTCCAGCTCAGTGGCCAAAAGCCAGCCCAATCCAACCCACCTGCCCATACACCATTCGATTGCATCCTAGCCCATTCCATGGCCTATCCCAAGCATTCAGCTCAGAGAGCTCGTCTCTAAGCAATCAATAGAACGGCGTCTGCGCCTGGAGCCACACGTGAAGCCATTCACTAAAACAGCACAACAAAGAGCTCGACATGATGAGCTTGATAAGGATGCTGTTGACGATGATCAGGATGTTGATGATGAGCATGTTGATGATGAGCACGTTCTATGTGGCAGTTGTGACTGTTGTTCATTCCTGTTCAAATATAAACGCTGTCTGGACCTGTTTGAAGTATACTATGGGGCAAGCCATGGGGCTTAACTAACTGGGTCAGTTATATTTGGCAGTCACGCAGGTTTCCTAACTGAAACCCTAACCGAACCTAACCCGCCTATCTGCTCAGCCCGCTATTCAAATTTCACTCAAATGTTGTTAGGAAACTGTCAGACGAGTTGTCCGGAATTTTATGGAATTGTGAAATTACAGCATACTCACACACACACACCCAGACACACACTTACACATAGACATGCACGTCATTCACGCCCATATCACAATTTCATCAGAGCTCGTAACATATCCTCTCAGGCTTGGGTGGCTTCGCTTGTAATGCTCTCGTAAATCGATTTCGCTTAGCTTTCAGTTTCATGAATGGCATTTCAATTTCCCTCGCTCCTAAAACAACGCACATAGTCGAAAAGTTATTCAAGTTGCTAGAAATTTGATAGACGTGCTGCGAAAATTCAGTTTGCCAATTTACGGGCTTTGCGAATATAATGAATTGCGCTATATTTTTATGGGGATAGTTTAAAGTATCTGAGAACTAAAGTTTAGTACATCATAACAGCAAATATGATCATATTTAATTTATTATATTTACATTTTTTCTATGTAGTTTTTGTTAGCTAAACGAGTAAAGCGAAAAGAGCCTATTCTTTTTTATTTTTATTGAGGTTTGATATTTTCCGATTATCCTTTCATTATATTAATTTCTATTTATATTTTTTATATGTTTGTATATATCAAATGTAGTATGACTGTTATCTTARACTGAGAATTTTATAAAAACATCTTAACAAAACATTAATATTAAAATAGATTAAATTAGAATATTAGTATTCTTTTGTGTAATTTCATTATCATTGTAATTTTCAATATGATTACCCTATCATCATGATGCAAAAATGTCAGGCAATCATCATTAATTATATAAATGGTTATAACTTTAAAAAAAAAAAATCTTTCATATAGAATTTCATATGATTATACTTTGGCATCATTTATATATATTATCTTGATTAGTTTAATGATTAACTGAGCTTAAAAATTATTATATTATAGAGCAATGCATCTATGTATATGCATTCATAAATGACTTTATATAATTTGATCGCTAATTGCCTTTCCCAGTTGGTAATGCATTTCCGAATTAACCGCACGATTTATTGGCCTAATGCAATTTTCGGTCGATTCTTGTATTTGCGCAACAGGCGAAAATGTTGACGAGCGTTGCTAAAAATGCAAAAGGCATAAACAGAAACCCAAAACGAAAAATATAATAATAAAAACAAACAAAAATAATAGCAAAAATCGAAAAACATGAAAATGCAAGAAAAATGGCGAAATAAATAATGTAAAAATTTGGAAAATTGCCAAGAAAATGAACGGATTTCAAATATCTATAAAAGTATTTTATATATAGATATATAATACGTGCAACAGATGCGCCAAATGTGGATATATACACATCTCTACACATACATAGATATATATAGATGCTGATTAATCGATTTAGAGGTCTAGCTGTGGATTGCATAAGCCAGCGTCAGCCCCAGCTAAGTGAGCTTTTCCTGCATTCCACGCCCACGCACAGGCTCATAAAGCGAGAGAGAGAGCGTGAGGCTGACAAAAGAGCTTGGGGCGGGGGGCGGCGGTGTAGGGGCGTGTTTGTCGCCTACGCTCATAAAATGTATTCAAGGACACGTTCAGGCAATTCAGCGCCCATATAAATGTGCCGCGAGGCAGACGCCACAGCAATTGACACGAGGCGTATACGCGATATTTAATTAACCACTTAACGCAATTTGTGATTGCACTGGCTAGCGCTCGCATATCCTGCGGAAGGGGGTGGGAGAGTAGTATGCCCTTTTTAATGCAGCCAAGGCCTTGGGTGTTTTATGGCCAGTCGTCGGAGCTTTGACAGTGCAGAAGAGTTAATAATTTAGCTGCAACTACAGGTGTTGCTCCTGCTGCAGTTGAAACTTCATTTTCAACTTGTCCGGCTGATACTTCTAAGCGTGCTTCTGCTTCTGGTATTTAGCTATTCTGTTCGTTCTTCAGTTTCTATTCTCTATTGCCACTTCTCATTCAGCTCTTATAACAGCAATTGTCTTCGTTTCAGTTTCCTCTTAGATTCGCATGAGCTTCCATGTGCTGCTTTAGCTCCTGTTCCAGCTACTACTATTTACTACTACTACTTTTAATCTGACGTCTGTAGTAGTTCGCCGATCGCTGCTGCTCCTGCTTCAACTGTTGCTGCTGCCTTAGCTATCCTAGCAGGAGTACCAGGAGTAGAAGAGAAGAGACCTGTGCTTCTGCTGTATGATTAGCTTATCCACTCTGCAGTTCCTGCTGCTACTCTTGCTCCAGCTCTTGCGACAGCTTCCGTTTCTACTTATGTTTTAGCTTTGATTCTTAAGCTCTTCATTTGGTTCCTCACTCCTATAAAGTCTTAGCATTCAGCTTTGACTTCTGATTCGGCCTCTGATTCTACTATAGCTGAAGGTCAGCTAGATTTACTGTTTCAGTATTAGCTCCTGCTTTAACTGCTACTCCTGCTGCTGTTTCTTCTTTACCTTCAGCTCCTGCGGCTCTTCCTCTGGCTTTCGCTTAACTATCAGCTTATGCTCCAACTAAAGTTCCTTTTAAGTTTCAGCGTATGTTCCAGCTCCAGCTGCTGTTCCTGGCTGAGCTGCTCTTGTTGTCCTTGTAGTTGGCCTTCTTTCAGCTGACGTGTGATTCAGCTCCTCCTGTAGTTGCAACTCCTGCTCCCACTCCTGCTGCAACTCCAGCTGGCCCATCTATTCTTGCTGCAAGTGCAACACTCCTGCTCCCACATTAGCTTCAGCTCCTTCCACCTGCCATCTGTCGCCCCTGCTCCTACAAGCGAATTTCATTCAGTTTGCCCACAATATGACGCTCCATTGCGTTTCACTCTCTCCCCAGCCACCTATCTCCTACTCTCTTTCTCTCTCTCTCCCTCTCTCTGTCTCTGTCTCACTCTACTAGTGTCTCGCACGTCGCACGCCAGCTGTGGCACGTGCGCCACTGTAGGAGCTGCGTTGGGGCCTCTCCGTGTTGTTCGTCGCTCTGGCGCTCGATGCTCAGTTGATGTTGGTTCCTCGTGCCGTGTGGTTCGCATTGTGGCAATCAGTTTGCAGTGGACGCGTTCGAAATTGAGCTGTGGGAAAATCAACTTTTCAAGAAATTAGGTAAAATTCGGGCATTCGTCTAATGAGCCAATGAGTCTAATAGCCAAATTTATGTTTTTCTGATTTTAAATTTTCATTTATTTATTTGTTTGTTAATTTAAAATTGTTTCACAGGTGTGTGCGTCTGCTACGCTTGGCGCCACTTCCGCTCACTCACTTTCTATATAAATATATCATTTAATTTGTTTTACATTCGTTTATTATTTATGTTTTTTTTTTATGATTTCATTTTGCTGTTGTTTTTCACTTAGGTCGAGCGCCATTAAAATTCTGACAGCCAAACAAATTATTTTCGGCCTGTCTGTGGCAGAGTCAAAGACTTTTATTATATGAGCATATATCAAGTCGATGTATATATGTACATACTTACATATATGTATATATATACATACATGTATTCTGTCTGCTAAAGATATTCATCTTTATTTTGTTTTGAGTGTAAACATGTTTTTTTTTTTTTCATTAGCTTTATTTATTTGTGGAACATTTCGCCTTGTTGACACGCGAATAGTCAATTTAAGCAAATATTAAAGCGCATCTGTCGGTAACATTCCAATTAGTCTCGATATACCCTGTTTATCCTGTTTGCAGAGGGCGTATTGTTACTTGGTTGCTCAAAAGGGCTTCAATATACATGAATATTTCATTACATATTGATTTAGATTGTAGTTGTTTTAGATACCTAAAGATTATAATCTCTATTGTATATAGAGTGTATTTTGTCATTTAATTTATCAGTTTTCTATAATAAAATTCTATTTTGAGATGTATATATTTTTCTATTGTTTAATTATGTTATACTTTTCCAAAACGAGGTTTTTTTTTTTTATTATTATTCACTTCTATTGCTGATTTAAATAGAACTTGTACATAGATAAAAAAAAAAAAAAATAGGTTTTACTTAATGTGTGCTTTTTCCTTATCAAAATATTTACAGCTTTTTATATATCAAAATAAATTTGATTAATAATTAACTTCATAAGGCATAGCTAACTTGTTAGCTAAAACGCTATCCAGATGATACATATTTCTTATTATTTATTGATTAGAATTTATTTAAAATATTATATAGGGTATCTCCAGTCTATTATGTGTGCACTTTATCAGAGCCGCAAAATTGTGGCCAAATTTTGAAAAGCTATTGTCAAGGTTAACGCCTAATGAGATCATATATATAATTTACATATGCATATGTATGTATATGGATACATTTATATGTCTGCACACCCATTTGAGCAGTTCCCATTTTCACACGTGAAAAAATTGGCATGACATCTGCCGGATTTCTAAGTCGCAATTTCTGCATTTCACAGTCTTGGCAATTTCTGGCATGATGTAAGACTGTTTATCAATTGACCGAATGTGCACTTATGTAAATAAAAGAAGAAAAAAAATTCCATATGCACTGTATATGTTTATATAGTATTGTCTGGAAACAACTGGTTATTCAATTGGTAAACTTGTATACACAAATCACTGATGTGCAATTTGATTTTCTATTGGTCTTATTGGAGGGCGTCGGTCGATCAATTTTCAAGCTCATTTTCTATTTTTCATTCATCTATGAATATGTGTATGAGTGTATGTATGTGCTTGCATTCGTTTACGTCGCTGTAGAATTCTAGAACATTCTGACTGTGTGCATTATTAAATGAGAAGTTGACAAACGAAATCAGCTGCAGTCCTGCTGCATTTCGAATAGGAATCTTATTGGACTTACAATGAGAGTTGAGAGCTAAGTGTTGTGAAAGAGTATGCCTATTTTAGTCTTCATAATTAATTTGTATATGCTTACTCATATTTGTTATCATAATCATAGCTCACTCTCTCATTCCATCGCTCTAAAGTCCACCCTTTTTAACAGAATTACTCATAATGCAATTGCTCTCTCTCTCTTTGTCTCTCTCTCTCTCTCTTGCAGCTATGGATATGAACAAGCGAATTGTCAACATGGATTCAATTAACACAAATAAACGCATGAAAAAGCATAATCAGTAAAAAATACAGGAAAAAAACCGCAACATAAAGAGCGCATAAATATATTTATAAAGCGACAGCCCAAAAGCAAAAGTAAAAGCACAGTCAAGTCTTTGACTCTTCAGCCGAATTGTCAACTGTAAAATCGAAAGAGAGCAACGAAAAGAGAGTGCGCGAGCGCACTTTGCTTTTGTTTACACGCCCATTTGTGCGTTGAAGTAGTGATTGCAACCAGAAGTGCACAATAAAAGCAAATATTTACCCGAACTAAGCAATAAATCAATTGAGCAATTAATTAAATAAATTTCAACAGAAACGGTAAACTATTATTGAAGCGGCTTTACAGCAGCCGGAGGAAATTCCAACAAAGAGTTTGCGCATATATAAAGAGAGACAGAGCGAGTGAGAGAGAGCAAGCACAGTTGCTATTGCACTGAGAGGGCGCATACTGGCGGCTGGTCGAAAATATACGCACGAAGACATACGAATACACACACTCATACAAATATACGTCAACAAATTTCGTTGAGTGCTCCAAAGTCGCGTGCTTGGCTCTGTTGGCGCTGTGCCGCTGCCTTCCAGATAGAAATTGAGTCTCTCGCGTGACACAACGTGCGTCCAAACGAGCGGAAAGTTTTCTTTAGTGTGTGCTCTCTGTGTTAAAGTTTGCTCTGTTTTTCTTTCTTTGCTTTTGGTTGCTCATTCGCTTGAGTAGCATTAGCAGCAGGCGCAGGCAGAGCAGCATTTGAGCATTCGCCGCCTCCCCAACGAAACGGCAGTCGGTCATTGAAAGCTAAAAAAAAAAAATTGTTTTGCCTGTGTGGAAATTGGCATTGCTAACCGTGGTAAAGCTTAAGCGTCCAACTTACAAAGCAAATAAACATTTTATAAATAAACGTGCACAATAAATAAACAAAAGGCAAACTTTTAAGTGCGAGTGTAAAATATCGATTTTTGTGAACAGCAAACGCGTCGATGACCTCGACGACGGTGACAGCCACGGCTAAAACGGTATAAAAGCAAAAGCTGTGCAAGCGAACGAGAGAGAGCGCGAGAGTGAGAGAGGCTTACAAGCTAACGCTTTTTGCCCAAATCCAATTGAGCCACGTTTTACATAATTGCCCAAGCGCATAAAGCAACAACAAAGGCAACAACAATAACAATAAGAGCAACCGCAACCAAAGCCAAACTAGCAAAAGCACAAATTATAACGGCGTCCGCAAACCGAGTGCAAGTGGAAAACCTTTTTGTTGCTGGACGAAGAAGGCGAAAAAGTAGCACAACACTTCCAGAGAGCGGCCCAAGCAGCTGCTGCAGTCGAAAATCACAGCGACACATGCTTAGATATCGGCTCGTCTCAACACACTTCCTAAAGCAGCCGTAGTCAGCCCACAGGCACAAACACACACACACAAACGCGCGCTAGTGGAATAGTGGAAGAGGGAGAGCAACAGCGTGCGAGTGTGAGAGCGAGCGAGCGAACGTACGAGCAACAACTGCATCAACCACAACAGCACCAAGAGAGCAGTAGAGGGCGACACAGAGAGAGAGTGACAGACTGAGCACAAAGTAACTGGAAAGGCCGATCGCAGGATACGAATACGAATACAAGGCGCTGCGCTTCCATACAAAAAGTGCGTCAGGTGTGCCGGCTGAGCTCATTCACTTGCCGAACGTTGCAGTGCGAGGAGCCTGTTCACGGGATTAAGTGGAAAGCGATCGCATTCGAGTGCTAAATCGATTTAATTAATTATAAAGCGCTCACCGCTTGAACAACCGCAACAGTTGCAACAGCTTGCAGCAGAGGCGGCCTAATTAATTTGCATCCGAACGGGCCTTATAATTCAGTCACAACGTATTCGCTAGGAGTTCTACGCCTACTCGGTTTGAGCTGTTTTAATTTAGATAGCGAAAATGTGCAGAGATCGCGATATGAGTTTGTCATAGATCAGCGCAATCGTCAGTATAAGGTTAAGAAAAAAATAAAACTGATGCTGTACTGAGAGTCCCCAATGTCTGTATAACAGATAGATCGATAGACCGAGCGAGAGAGTGAGCGAAAGCGAGAGAGCGAGAGAGAGAGCGTGATAGCTAAAGAGCGAGCCTTGGACCAAGCAACAACAACAATAACAGCAAAAACCAGGAGTTCTACTTAAGATCAACAAAGCTACAATACCAAAGTTAACAATTTAAGTCTACAACATTAGTCATAAATCGATCGATCAATCAAAATCCATCAATCGAGCCGTCAAGCAATAATAGCCAGGATCATCGGATTCGCATGTGTGTGCCAACGTGTGTGTGTGATCGCCGGGGTGTCAAAGCCTGAAATGTGACTATTTTTTGCAACAACTTACTTGACTAAAATTGCCTCCGCTTCCCCCAAACAAGGAACAGAGGTCCAAGTGGAGATTTATTTTGTTGTTTCTTTGTAACGCTACTCGGTGTGCGCGAACTTTCGATATATAGTTATTATTATTCTTATTCTCATTATTATTATTATCATTATTGTTATTATTCGTGGTTTGTGTTAAACAATAACGTCGTGCAACTGGCGAAAGTACGTGGAAAAATCAGCAAAATTGAAGACTTTGCGAGAAATCTTTGGAAGTCCGTTAAGGCTTGCGTTGTAAGTATAACTAATATATTCAATTATTTATGAATAAATAATAAATAAGTATTTGAGGGTCAATAGACATTAGGCTATTGGCTTAACGCTTTGTTGTCTTTTGGTAATTTTCCACCCTTGTCACTGGAATTTTCCGAAAATTTCATTTGCTTGGGCACGTAGGCCATCAAGAAAAACTACACTGAGACAAATGAGAAACAGCTGTTCTCTAATCAATGATCTTTATTCATAGTCAAGCGTTCAAGTTTTTTTTTTTATAATAATAGAATTGATAATGCTGAGTCAGAGTGGAACACTTGGGTTTATCAAAGATCAGCTAGCCTTATAGATTATTTTACTTTATTTTGGCACGAGACGATTGTTTTCAAGCAATTTCAAGTTTTTATGTGATGTATATACGATCTTTTTACTTTATCCATGTATTTACAAATTCTGTAGCACAAAGGAATTCTACTGATTATTTATAGTAATTATTATTAGTATTATATACTGTTGGAGTTAAGTGTTCTTTGAACCGCTGTCGCTGTATACATAGTTGAATGTCGACGAACTTTATAGACTCAAATATTATATGACTTTTCCTCTTTTATAATTTACTATTTCGCGATCTTACCCGAATTTTTCTAATGCACAAACATTTTTAATACTGAAAATCTTTCTATAGCATGGTCATAATGATCATCCTTTAATATGTTCATGTTAGTTTAGTAAAAACCGTTCACTAAAACTCAAAGATCTAGAGCGAATTTACCACTCTCTATATATATTTCCCAGACTCTTTCTCTCTCTGTGTTTGTCAATCATTTCGGCTGGTCGGCTGTTAACTTAATTTATTGCCTTGACGTCCGTCTGTCACAATTATTGATAATCCATTTCACACCTTTTTTCAGTTTGTTGCTAATCGTGTTGGATTTCATTTTTGATATATTGTTATAAAGAAATTCACACCTTTTGCATTTGTAAGCCGAGCGTTGCCAGGCACAAAATAGAACTTCATGGAACCGATTATTGGCAGTTGTTGATAAACACAGTGGCTGGCTTTGCTAACTACCTCAATTTAACTCTCTCTCTCTCTCTCTCTCTCCATCTCTTTCGTCTTTGCACTGCTTATGTCAATCATGATTGATATCCAATTTGCCCAGAACATAAACATTCAATGTAATAGATAGTGTTGTTTGTCTATGACAAAGCGATTTTCATATCTTTCGTATGGTAAGCGCTACCAACTGAATTTTTTCCATAACATTTCCATTGAATCGATTAATTTGTTATTGTAGTTTCTATATACCTATATGTACATATACATATTGTTCTTTGTTTGCCGCTGACGCATCAATGGTAAGACTCTGCATTAGTCTTCTGTACTCCAATAGAAGCACAGCTGAGCATTCACTGTGAAATATATACATACATATATAGTTATATAGTTAAATGCGCTCTCTCTCTCTTTCTGTCACATTTTAACATACTTTTTCGACGACTACTCCACTGAGCTATAAATTTTCCATTTGGGTAATGCGACTGTCCCAATATTTGCTTGTTGTCTCTACCTGTTCTCACTCTTGTTGTCGCTGTTGTCGCGAGAGTTTAACAAACTGTTGCGTGCTTTTAGGCACCACACCCCCCACCCATGAATACCTACCTGTTCTTCACTTTGCTTCGCATAATTTATTTACGTGCTAACAATCTGCACGTCACAGTTGTCGCCGTCATGCAATCCCCATCATTTGTGGCTGTTGACCCAAAAAATTACATGGCTTATTAGGCAAGTCAATAAGACGTTTGTCAATTACGAAAATATTAACAAAATGGAAGATGAGCCGAGCTCCAATAGGCGTTACCTTGGGAGGTCAATTGAATGCGATGTTTATTTAGGAAAATATATACATATATAAAGTGAAGGTTTTTATAGCGATATCTGTTTATATTTTCTTTTAATTAAGCTTTGTTGATTTGTGGAACTTAGTTGTATTAATGAGAATCGCATACAAAGGCTTTGTTGTCATTGCTTTTATTGAAATGTGCTTTAGAGATGGAAAAATTGTTGTATAACAATATTGTTCAATACAGATTTACAGATGTACATACATATAACTTCAATGTATAGAACTATAAAGAATTTAATATCGTTCATGCATGCATATATTCATACATTCATTCCTACATACATTCAGACATCTACATTCATACATATCTACATTCATACATACATGCATCATTCATATACTCACACACTCATACATTCCTATTCATTCCTTCATTCATTTGCTCACACATCCATCCCAATTTCTATGAGAACTACATAGAAAGGCTGTACATTAAAAAGTATGCTGTATAGAAAGTTGCAAAACTTTTCTGTATATCTGTGTGTATCTGGGCACGCACTTATTTATATATACATCATATACACATATACATTCATATTTTAATATGAATTTATCTCACACCACCAGACAATTGGTGGCGTCGGCTTTTTCTTTAGCCTCCGCATTCACACGGCTATTGTACTTCAATTAACAAATCACATCGATCAAGCCACGAGCAAAATGTGTAAATTTGTCTATAATTAGATATTTCACAGAGTTCACACTGTGCAGATATGTATATATTTTTTTACGTTCGTTTATTTCTGAACCGATTTGAAAAGTACACAAAAAAAAAAAAACCATAAAAAATTTATTTTTAGCATTGTACTGTGAAGAAATGTGAAATGTTTTTAATATACGCAGTGGCAATTTAAAAAAAAAAAAAAAAATGCCAAAATAATGGGCGAGATACCCTGGAATTATGCTAATGTGTGGGGAATATATGAAAAATGATATAATTGCATTATAATTGGGTTGTTTGATTAATCTGCTCATTTTTTTGTTATTTTGTTATTTAAAGCTTTTCTACAGGATATCAACTAGTCTCATGCCGAAAATTCTTATATGTTTTCATAAATATTGTTGATAATATGTATATTACTTGTTCGTTGGACAGAGATTCTCGCTGTTCTCATTGAGACTTAGTATGAGCTCATTCAAAAATCTCGTGACATTTGTATACCATGAATATACAAAAAGAAAACGAAAAAAACAACAACTATATCAAAGGTGGGAGCCGAGAGCTAGTACCAGTCTGGCACGTGGCAGCAGTTGACAAAAAATCAAACCTCATTTGGCAAAGCAAAATTTAAACAAAATTAAAGCAGAAAAGCCGTATGCAAAAAATTTCAAACGAAAAACAAAAAAAAAACCTGTTCGCCTTCACCAGACAGACGCATAAATCAAGGCAAAATACAGTCATATATATATGGAGTATATAATATATATACATATATATTTGCTTGATCAATGCTTGGCAAAGTTCACGAAACTGGAAAGAAAGAAATTTTATACTCGAGTGTCTGCAGTGCGCTGCTTCAATTGAACTTGATTGATTTTAACGAAATGCGAGTAAAAATACACAATTTCTATATTAATTGAAATACAGCAGCAGTAGCAGCAAAAACAATAATAATAATAAAAGAAATCATCAATGAAATGCAACCGCTGATTGCGTCACGTGCCGCCAATCAAAAGCCCCATCGCATAGAGTAGGCGTAATCGTAATCGCCAACACGTACTTTGCCCCATTTCAATTCCCAGCTTCCAGTTTTCAGATTGCCGCTTCCATTGCCCAATCGCCACTATCTATGAACTATTCTGGAGTTCTCTGATTTATTTACATTTTTTATTCAATTTTTGCATATTTAAATAATGCTTTCCTTCCTTTTTTTTCCACTTTTGTCACCGCTTTTAAGTGTTTTTTGATTTATGAGCTTTATATGGGCTTTGTATACGCTTAACCTTTGTCTGCTCATAAAGAATTTCTCTATTTGTTTTATTTTTTTTGTGTGTTTATATTACATTAAAAGCAGGTGTTTTCTTTTTGTTTGTATAAAGGTAACATTATAATTTCATGGTGAAAACTTTGAGAAATCAGAACATTTGCTATACTTTTTCGAACAGACCTGATATATGAGACAGATATGGAGACCTACGTTGACCTGTTCTTAATCTCTGCTCTGATAAGCGTGCCTTTTATTTAAAATTCTGATCACACGGCATGTAATTGATCGTTTAATGTTCAGAATGAATCGCAAATCTCATATTCATTTATATTCATAATATTCATCACGAAACGTGTCTATAATGGACTCGAATACTCAAACAATCGGCTACTTATACAGCTCATCAACTATGACCT